CACACAATAGATAATGTATGACAACCTTGTTACCAAAGTCACTGACAGAGATATCTGACGTATTAGATTGTGCTCAAAGGTGACATTCAGACAGAATTGTACTGAAGCTGATATTAAAATACTTTTTTATTAGGTTATCACATCAGTGCCAATAATAAAGCAAAATAGAAAAAAAATCCAATTTATAGGGAATTAAAAGTAAAATAGAAAATGTTCCATTTCGTTATTCATTTTATCGAGTTACCGGAGGCTAAAATTGCAGATATTCATTGTTACAGATTCCACAGTTTCCTATTATTTTGCAAATAGGATAAACTTGTCTGCTGCTTCTAAATTAGACAGACGCATAACGATGCTTTGTGTTGGAAGAATGGCATGAAACCGAAATTATAATCAATTTATTTTTAGCATCATATTCTGAAAGGTTTGAGATTTTATGATCAATTTGAAAGATAATATCCAAAAAACATGATCTGAAAACATAATTATTTTTTTTTCTATAATCACCAATGTTGTATTATTTTAAACAGTAAACCAGCAATAAATACGTTAGACTTGCCAAATTACAGCATTTTAAAGGAAAGTTCTCTTTGCTTATATGACGATAAATTCTCTCTGTAAAAAACCCTTGTACTTGGCTAGATTATATTTCTACATTACAAAACAAATATAAAGGATGAATAAAAAAATAAAAAAATGGGGAATATGCTGACAGTATTGATAAATATACTTATTTATAAAGTTAGAGGAATCTCAAAGAGAAGCATGGGGGCCTACTGAGCATGCGTCACAACTACAACACTCAGCCAATCGTATGATTCTAATATTAATGACTAAATAAAATGTCAAAGCTTCTTTAGCCAGCAGGGTGAATTCCAAATGATAAGGCTGAGAGATGGGATTGCTAAACTAACCTAATCTAAGACAAAGTTCTGGAAGTGGTTTTTTTCTCTGTATGGGAAACAAAGGTCGGGCCATTGGTTGATAAATGTTCCTATAAATTAAACAGAGAATGTAATACCCAGAAATAAAAAGGAATAGGGCTGGCAAAGTACAACTCATTGAGTCATATAAGTATACATCTTACTAAGTATTCATTATTCTTCGTTATAATGGAAACACTGGCAGGGTTATCACTGAAGTCAAAATTAAACATGAATTTTAAATTTAAGGCCAACTGGAAGCCCATAGCTTACCTAATAATACTTTCCAATTTGGCTAATTTGACCTTAAATTTAAAATTCACCTTTAATTCTCACTTTAGTAAATAACTGTGTATATTCTTTTACTTAAGAATTCCTCTAGTCAATAAATATAATGAAATTGATAGAATAACCTCTACAAGCAGTAAATTCCACCTTTATGGTTCAGACTGGAATGGATAATGTGCTGCCCATTGTATAGTCCTGTTTATGGACAGCTTGAACACGGTTTGGTATTGGTTGTGTATCCATTCATGGAATCCATGTATAGCTTGGAGGAAAGTGGTAGAGGTTAACACAGTAAAGGAGTTTAAGCATGTGTGGGATAGGCATAAGGCTATCCTAGATATAAGATAAGGCTAGGGACTAATGAAAGCATTTAGAAAATTGGGCAAACTAGATGGGCCGAATGGTTCTTATCTGCCGTCACATTCTATGTTTCTAATGTTATTGTATCTCTATTGTTCTTTGTGAAGTCCTGTTAATAAATATCTAGGGAGAACAAGTCTAGTTATTTTAGCCATTCTTCATTACTAAAATCTGCCATTTCCCTTATTAATTAAGACCATTCATTTAATGTTTGTATGGGCTGCACAGAATATTCCACTAAGGAGTGCACCAATACTTTCTATTTTTTCTCTCTTGAGTGAGAGTTATGTTATATTTCCCTCTCCTGAGAGAGGATGCGGCTACAGGGTTATACAGAAATGGAGGACGGGATTGGCAGCAGTTTACAGTTGAGCTGTTTGTCCCTCCAGGTGTTGGTCTGTTGTGGAGCCTTTCCAGAACATCTTGGTTAGGTCTATGGCCAAAGTTCTCCCCTGAGGTCAGTTATGCCTCAGCAGGGCTTGTAGGAGACATATCCTGCTCTGAGGCATATAGTTAGGGCCTCAGTGCCTCAGTGCTCCCACCATAGTCAACGGTTATTCTGTATTAGTATTGTTAGCTATTGTGTCAGTTAAATATTGGATGGATTTTAATTATTATTTACTAAAGCAACCCGTGATGTTTTTTACCTTCCAATCTGTTGTCCATGTCTCCATGTTATATTGGAGGAAGTTTTGGAAAATGTTAATGGAGGGTGAAGGGTGGGTTATTTTTTTACATATGGTGTATGTATGACAATAGGAGATCTACCACCTATGCTGACTTTTTCATGCCAACCATCTCGTTCTCCCTCCTCTCTCCCCATAGCACCCCCTTAGAGGATTAGGACCATATTATGTGTATCTGCCTGTCAGTCTGTGTAATATCTCATTCATTTAGGCAATTTATGTCAATTTCATTTGGGTATATTTAAATACACAAACAATGACACTCATTGATACAGAAATTGATGTACACAACACACACTCACACTACCATCCAATCTGGATAAACACAACACACACTCACTACCATCCAATCTGGATAAACACAACACACACTCACACTACCATCCAATCTGGATAAACACAACACACACTCACTACCATCCAATCTGGATAAACACAACACACACTCACACTACCATCCAATCTGGATAAACACAACACACACTCACTACCATCCAATCTGGATAAACACAATACACACTCACACTAGCATCTAATCTGGATAAACACAACACACACTCACACTAGCATCCAATCTGGATACACACAACACACACTCACACTAGTATCCAATCCGGATACACACAACACACACTCACACTAGTATCCAATATGGATAAACACAACACACATTCTCTGTAAGAATGCAACCCTTTCCTTTGAATTCCGTTTTTTTTTCTATTTTATGACATGTTTGTATGTTTTTACATTTAACTGGATGATTTTTACAAATATTTTGAATAAACTGGAGTTTTTAAAAATTGTCTAAATCGAGGAGAGCCTTGAAGCAAGGGGATCCCGGTAGTAGCTCTGAACACAGAGAAAAAAAGTACGTAATAACCAGCTAATAATAGGGAAGGTGGAGACACTGATAAATGGGTAGAAAGATGGAAAAGGTGAAAGGGAGTAGACAAAAGGAACCCTATCTACACCTATCTACACCTATCTACACCTATCTGCACCTATCTACACCCATCTACACCTATGAACCATCTAAAACTATCTGCCTGTAGGAAAAGGTGAAAGGGAGTAGACAAAAGGAACCCTATCTACACCTATCTACACCTAACTGCACCTATCTACACTTATCTGCACCTAACTGCACCTATCTACACCTATCTGCACCTATCTGCACCTATCTACACCTATCTGCACCTATCTACACCTATCTACACCTATCTGCACTTATCTGCACCTATCTACACTTATCTGCACCTATCTACACCTATCTACACCTATCTGCACCTATCTACACCCATCTACACTTATCTACACCCATCTACACTTATCTACACCCATCTACACCTATCTACACCCATCTACACCTATCTACACCTATCTACACTTATCTACACCTATCTGCACCCATCTACACCTATCTGCACCTATCTACACCTATCTGCACCTATCTACACCTATCTGCACCTATCTACACTTATCTACACCCATCTACACCCATCTGCACCCATCTGCACCTATCTACACCTATCTGCACCTATCTGCACCCATCTGCACCCATCTGCACCCATCTGCACCCATCTGCACCCATCTACACCCATCTACACCTATCTACAAAGCTATCTGCCTGTAGAAGGAAAGAATCCTCAAAGAACGTAACAGTGAGTAGCACAGTATTTTGGGGTTGGGTTTGTTCATCTCAGAAGACTTATCTACCTAGCTAAACAGGACTCCTACCTGTCTACCCGTCATTTGTGTGGGGATTTTCTCTCTCTGTGAGGTATTAACCTCTATCAGGCCGCTCAGTCGGAGTATCTTGAGATATAGGAGACATTACCATTCACATTTGAAAGAGTGATTGGAGCTTTTCACTCCTCCTTTTTTCTTCCTATATACTGTGCTACTCACTGTTACGTTCTTTGCTCCTACAGGCAGATAGTTTTAGATGGTTCATAGGTGTAGATAGGTGTAGATGGGTGTAGATTGGTGTAGATAGGTGCAGATAGGTGCAGATAGGTGTAGATAGGTGTAGATAGGTGCAGATAGGTGTAGATAGGGTTCCTTTTGTCTACTCCCTTTCACCTTTTCCATCTTTCTACCCATTTATGAGTGTCTCCACCTTCCCTATTATTAGCTGGTTACTACGTACGGTTTTTCTTTGTGTTCAGAGCTACCACCAGAATCCCCTTGCTTCAAGGGTCTCCTCGATTTACATGTATACTTTTGGTTTACCCCCTATCTGTAGCTCTGAGGTAGGCACCATCCAGGATAGATTCTACACCTTCACACATTGTGACTGTGTGGATCTACCCTCTTTTTTCTTTTCACTTTCTTTGAATAACTGATGCTTTCTGAAAACAGATGATTGGTGGGTGTTTTTGAATATGAAAATTATTATTTAACTCTCGAATGAAAGGTTGCTGAACTTTTGGATAAAATTTGTTAGTGAAAAGATGAAGAATCCATCTTTTAATAAAATGTTTTAATCGATGCGCATGCGTTCACTCATTAATTTTAGTACAGTTTGCATGCGTCTGAACGTCATTTATCATCACACCTGTTTTTGTTATTTCTCTTAGTCCTTCTTACCATAACCAACCAGAATTGTGGACTGCTACGGAGATCTTCTAACCAAGTGTCAGTATTTTATGTTTGTATTTATTTCCAAAAAGATGATCCGTTTTTATTGTTCTCTTGGAATCTTACTAAATGTATTCTAATTGCCCAGATATGTTCCATATGAAGACGTGGCTCTCTGCTAGACAGTAATCTCTCTGATCTGTAGATTATTGTCCACCATTAACCCAATGACTGCATCATTTCCACCCAATACTCGGTATAGCTTGGAGAGTTTTCCACTCATAATGTGATGCATTACCAGATGTAAGGAATTGTTCATGTCCCTCGCAGAGAGCCTTCATCGACTCATCGCTAGAGACATGGTGGCGGTCTCTGATTTTATCTGTAGCACCTGCTGATCTCTACCTTACCTTGCAGCCCCCTATTACCATTTATTCTCCATCTGGTTCTCCACGGGATACGTCACATTGCTAAAGATCTTTACATAGAAGGGAGAACATAACAGCTGTGTGATAGCAGGAAAGAAGCAAATCACGCACTCCCTGCAGAGGAATCTCATAAGGAGCATCAGAGAGACTCCAAGACATTACGATTAAACTCCAAGGTGGGAGAATGCAGCCTACAGATTGTTCTCTTATATCTCAGTATCTTCACCCCCTGCAGGAGTCACATGGTTAAAGCACTTGGCAACCTGTGTAAAAACCAGCCAAGCAGCAATATGTACTAAACACAGAGTGTGATTCATTCTCACCCTAGAAATGGACGTTATATTGTCTCATCCAGATGGAATAAATGTGTAAATGTTTACTAACTCCAGGGGAGAAATAGTAAGAACACATATAAATTTAAATTACTGGGGGTCACCGAGCAGGGACAAGTTTATCTATGGCACCTAGAAAATGATGTAACCAGAAGAGGTCAACATGGACTACAATAAAGGATTTATGTGCTATAACTGTTGAAAGTGTCTGGTTTATTAATTTTCATTGTTTATTTTTTTTGCCGTTACTATTGCATGTTTTGTCTGCATATAGAAACTAAATTAAGAAAAGATTGTTTTAATGTTACTCCCGTTTCCCGTATTGGGTCCCACTGTGGAGTGCAATATTGGGTTACATTGTTTTCCTATAACCAAATCCCATTGTTAAAATTTTACAGATCTTCCTGGTACCCCAACTTGGTACCTCCGCCAAACACGCTTCCTTGCTCTTGCCAGGACACCATCAGCACTTCATCCCCTAGCCACTGCAGCTTGGCTGGGGTCTCACCGTCGCTTCTCACCCTGGAACAGGGTCCTGGATACAGCTTCTAGTGATTAAAGCTCTCCTGCAGAGTACAGCTGTTTTTCTGGTACACAGAAACACTAACCCCGACTGAGCGAAGGGCGAAAAGGAACTGGTTTATTATGGTCAAGTTGCCTGCTATTATACACAATGCTCAGCAGGGGGTCTTCATTCAATGCAGGACAAGATCCTCCCATAAATCTCTGTGCCTGTGAGATAATTGCGTTATAGCTAATTATCTGCCAGGAACAGAGAGGCAAACATAAAAATATAAAACATAAAAATACCCCAAAACATCATAAAAATATATAATAACCACACAAATAATACATCTTTAAATAGCCTTTATCTGAGTGCTCAAGTTCTCCAAATAGCGCTCCGATGCATGAAGTGTAGAGGAAATGCCACTGTGTTAAAGTTCAACTTTCGGGAGCTCCTGCGTCCAAAATATAGGGTGCTCCGGCTAGCTCTTTGGTAACGTTTGTGTCCCTTAGTCTCAGACACCTTCCCTCCAAAAAGTGCTCTCCTGGCGGATTGCCAAGTCATTCAAAACCCCGGACCAAGTTGTCCGGGAGCCGCACAGTCACCTCATGCCGAAAACAGTTCCATAACATTCACGACTAATTCACGACCGGGAACCCACAAAGTCCTCATGCCAATTTAGTTCCATAACGTTGGCAGCTATGTACCGCTGAGGACAATTAGTTGGTTTCTTCATACGATCAGCCGAGTGTTCAGTTCCATTCGAAAAAAGGGAAAGTGTCGACCCAGTGGCAACCAGTGAAAGCTGCTAATGGTGGCTGGGGAGGTTTTACTCCTAAGAGGGTCTTTGGATACAGCCAGGGCCGGCGCTACCTGTAAGGCGGACAAGGCAGCTGCCTAGGGCGGCTCTGTAGAGAGCCTCAGGCGGCTGCAGCTTTGCCCGGGCGGTGCGTCCATGAGGGCGGACCGCCCGGGCGCAGCATTGGGAGAGGGGCTGACAGGAGGGAAGCGCTTAGCGCTCAGCGCTCCCTCCTGTCACTCCCTCCCTGTAGCGTGGCCGAGCCCTCTATTGGTCCGCGGGTACTGGGAGCATCTGTCTCCTGTACCCGGCCGGACTAACAGGAAGTGCACACTGAGTGTGCACTTCCTGTTAGTCCGGCCGGGTACAGGAAACAAAAGCTCCCTGTACCCGCGGACCATACCATAGAGGGCTCCGCCACGCCACAGGGAGGTAGGGGAGAAATTGACATGGGGAAATGGACAGGAGGGGGAAATGGACAGGGGAAATGGACAGGAGGGGGTGAATTGACAGGAGGGGAACTGACGGGGAAATTGACAGGAGGGGTGAATTGACAGGGGATTGACGGGGAATTGGGGGGAAATTGACAGGAGGGGGGAATGACAGGAGGGGTGAATTGACAGGGGAGGGAACTGACAGGAGGGGAACTGACAGGAGGGGAATTGACAGGAGGAATTGACAGGACGAGGGAATGACAGGAGGGGGGAACTGACAGGAGGGGGGAAATTGACAGGAGGGGTGAATTGACAGGAGGGGGAATTGACAGGAGGGGAAATTGACAGGGGTTGACAGGGAGGAAATTGACAGGAGGGGGGGAAGAAATTGACAGGGAGTGGGGGAAGAAATTGACAGGGAGGGGAATTGATGGGGGAATGAGAGTGGGGAGGGGAGAAGAGAGTGACAACGGGGGAGAAGAGAGTGACAAGGGAGGGGGGAGCAGAGAGGGACAAGCAGGGGAGAAGAGAGTGACAAGGGGGGGAGAAGAGAGGGACAAGGGAGGGAGAGGGGGGAGAAGAGATTGACATCCATCACACACACACACACAATGCACCCCTTAAACACAAAGACAATGCACCCCTTGCACACAGAAAAACACACAATGCATTACACACACAGACACACACACAAGCAATGCAATCCTTACACACAATGCATCCCTTACACACACAGAAACACACAATACATTCCTTGCACACACTCAATGCACCCCTTACAGATGCGCACACTCAATGCATCCCGTACATACACAGAAACACACCTTGCAGCCCTTACACATAAAAACACAGATTCACACAATGCATTCCTTACACACATATCCGGACATCCCCCTACTCCACCCCCTGTGAACAAACTCATTGGTGGAACATGAAAGGGGACCCTGGGACCCAGACCTTGAGCTGTGTAAAGGGCCTTAAAAAAAATGGAGCTGCTTCCCATTCTCCCAGAACATTTTTGTGACCACAGTCACAAACCGCCTCCAGGGAGCCTGTTCTACACCAGACCAGTGGAGCCAGACTGCAGCTAGAGCCCATCATCATCCTCATCTGGTTGTAAGTAGGCAATCTAGTATATTATTTGTGGCACTAATCTCTAATTTACCTCACATTAAAGAAACACTATAGTCCCCAGAACCACTTCAGCTTAATGTAGTGGTTCTGGTGTCTATAGCCTGTCCCTGCATGCCTTATAATGTAAACACGGCGACACTGCAGCACTGGCGTTAGTTAACATGGCAGGTCATATGGGCGGGGCATTGTGATGTCACGGGGGGGGGCAGTAAACTTTACTTTTGCCTAGGGCGGCAAAAATCCTTGCACCGGCCCTGGATACAGCCCATAGTCCGTGGGCAGGAGGCTAGCTAGCAGGCTCCTCCAGGAGCTCGTGGCATAGGCACGTTTGCCACATATGTTAGACCTCAACTCCCATCATCCAAACCTGAAAACCAGAAGAAGGTGCAGGCAACTCTAAAGCCTGAATATGTTTCAATTCAGATTACCCTCTGATATTTATAATAAACAAAAGTTGGAAAGGGCACCATACCAAAATCTTCTCAAATTACAGACACTGGTCTAATTGTAGAAAAAACACTATAACGTACAAAATTATTAATGCAAGGAATTAAAAGAATAACTCAGTGTCACTGAGGCTAACGATGTGTAACCCACTACTTCCAGTGTATGTATTTTCCCTGGTGCAAATGAAAAACATTGTATGGGAGTGGTGAGTTAAAGACACAAACACCCTACTAACCACAATGTAGCGGAGATGCAATATTCCCCAGGTTATCTCCGCTTATAATCCAAGTGGGACTCAGGAACAAGTAAATAGTAAATCCACAGGCAAGGCTTCCAGCAGGTAAAATACAGCAATATCCCAACAGCAATCCCAATAACTGGACGACACACAGTTTCAGGAGCATAACTGACAAGCCTTTAATCACAGTCTCCTTATAAAGCATGCTCCCATGCAAGGGAGGAACTTACAGTAATTATTACAGTAGCCAATCCTGGTAACCTCCCACACATCTCCTCCCCTCAGCCAGCATCATAATCCCCTTATCCAGCACACCAATTCCCCCCGTTTCTGGATGTACCCCTAAACGGAGGGGTACCTCTTTAAATCCTACATCCCCGGATACCCCTGGGTGACCAACATATCCAAAAATCACCCAGATCAGACCAGGGGTTCGGGAAAAGTATGGAGGGAATAAAATGACCGACCGCACGAACTGAGATAGCCGAATCCGGTTCCATGTGAATGGGCCCTGCGGTCGGTCCTGGCATAAGGGAATAAAATACACGAAAACCTCTAGCTATAGAGGCTAGGGAGGGTTCGCCTGAATCCCCTCGTTCGGTATTTTCTATCTACCGAACGAGGGGCCGTTCGGTAGTTTGGAACCGAACGGACCAGGGCTGTGGAGGTCTCAGCGGTGTTCGCCTACTCGAGTGTCCGATTTTAGTTCCAGACACTCGACGGCAAAACACCGCTGTTCGGGAGTTTTAAAATGGCCGCCGCCACGTGTTCGTTTGTCGAATGGCGGCCACCCCCGAGAACAAAGGACGGCTACTTACTATTCAATTACCCGTTCGCAACAATGTTGCAACAGGTAATTGAGGACACACTTCACACAGGGGAGGTCTGGTTGTTCGGTAGTTTCATTCGAATAAACTAAGGGAATGAAACTACTGAACAATCAGAGGAATACAATTCTCTTTAATACATAGAAAACACAGCAGATACACGAATGCAGTTAGGTACAGTATATTTGTAGGGTCGCCTGGTGCTATCCGCTACACACAACATCTGAGGAAAGGGATTTATGGGTGATTATTTCTGATGACTTAAAGGTAGGCAGACAATGTAATAGAGCAGCAGGAAATGCTAGCAGAATGCTTGGTTGTATAGGGAGAGGTATTAGCAGTAGAAAGAGGGAAGTGCTCATGCCATTGTACAGAACACTGGTGAGACCTCACTTGGAGTATTGTACACAGTACTGGAGACCGTATCTTCAGAAGGATATTGATACCTTAGAGAGGGTTCAGAGAAGGGCTACTAAACTGGTTCATGGATTGCGGGATAAAACTTACCAGGAAAGGTTAAAGGATCTTAACATGTATAGCTTGGAGGAAAGACGAGACAGGGGGGATATGATAGAAACATTTAAATATATAAAGGGAATCAACACAGTAAAGGAGGAGACTATATTTCAAAGAAGAAAAACTACCACAACAAGAGGACATAGTCTTAAATTAGAGGGACAAAGGTTTAAAAATAATATCAGGAAGTATTACTTTACTGAGAGGGTAGTGGATGCATGGAATAGCCTTCCAGCTGAAGTGGTAGAGGTTAACACAGTAAAGGAGTTTAAGCATGCGTGGGATAGGCATAAGGCTATCCTAACTATAAGATAAGGCCGGGGACTAATTAAATAATTAACTAATGAAAGTATTTAGAAAATTGGGCAGACTAGATGGGCCGAATGGTTCTTATCTGCCGTCACATTCTATGTTTCTATGTCTGATGCATCAAGGTATGGACTCCACAAGAATGTGTGTAGCGGAGAGCTGGTATTACACAGCCTATCTCCACTTTAGATCCCAGGGAGACTCAGGAACAAGCAATTATAAATCCATAGGGTAAAGTATCCAGCAGGCAAAATAACACAGCAGTATCCCAACAGCAATCCCAATAACTGGACGACACACAGTTTCAGGAGCAGAACTGAAAGCTTTATTCCACACTGGCCTTTTAAAGCATGCTCCCATGCAAGGGAGGGATTTTCATTCATTAGTACAGTAGCCAATCCTGCTCTGGTAACCTCCCACACCTCTCCTCCCCTCAGCCAGCATCATAATCCCCTTATTCTGGACACCAATTCCCCCCGTTTCTGGATGTACCCCTAAACTTAGGGGTACCACTTTAAATCATACATCCCCTGGTAGCCCTTATCTGGGTGAACAACATATCGAAAAATCACCCAGATCAGACCAGGGGTTCGGGAAATTTATGGAGGGAATAAAATGACGACCGCACTGGGTGAAACAGCCGAATGCGGTTCCATGTGAATGGGCCCTGCGGTCGGTCCTGGAGTCAGGGAATAAATGGCACGAAAACCTCTAGCTACAGAGGCTAGGAAGGGTTCGCCTGAATCCCCTCATTCGGTTCTTTCTATCTACCGAACGAGGGGCCGTTCGGTAGTTAGGAACCGAACGGACCGGGCTTGTGGAGGTTTCAGCGGTGTTCGCCTAGTCGAGTGTCCAATTTGAGTTCCAGACACTCGACGGCAAAACACAGCTGTTCGGGAGTTTTAAAATGGCCCCCGAGAACAAAGGACGGCTACTTAACTTGTCAATTACCGTTCGCAACAATGTTGCAACGGGTAATTGAGAACACCCTTCACACAGGGGAGGTCTGACTGTTCGGTAGTTTCATTCGAACAAACTAAGGGAATGAAACTACCTAACATTCAGACGAATACAATACATTACATACATAGAACTTGCTGTTTTTATGCGAACACATTAAAATACATGAAAGTCTCAGGACAGCCCAGGGCCACCCGCTATACTGCTCCCCCTTGCCCACAAGCCGGCATACACAGTCTGATCCAACACGGATCGGCTTGGGGCTGTCCGGGGAGGCTCACGGATCATTTCTATAGGTCAGTTTGTCTTGACAACCCGCCAGCGTTCCCATTCTGTTTGCCCGGGCGGTACTGGATGTTGAAGTCAAAAGGCTGCAGCACCAAACTCCAGCGCAGCAGCCTGGCCAACGGGTTGTGATCCGTGAGCAAGGAAAAGGGCTGTCCATACAAATATGGCTGTAATTTCTTCAAGGCCCACACCACAGCCAGGCACTCCTTTTCGATGGCGGCGTAGCTCACTTCTCTAGGTAATAGTTTCCGACTGATGTAGGCTCCGGGGTGTTCTCCGCCATCGGCACCGACTTGGCTTAGAACTGCTCCCAATCCAAACATAGAAGCGTCTGTGTGAACAAGAAAACGTTTAGTTGGATCGGGAGCGGCCAAGACAGGGGCATTAACAAGGGCATCCTTCAACAGGTTGAATGCCTTCTCACACTCCGGGGTCCAGGTTACTTGGCAGGGTAAATTTTTACGGGTAAGATCAGTGAGGGGTTTGGCCAGGGCACTATAATTGGGAACAAACTTGCGGTAGTATCCGGCCGTCCCTAGAAAAGTAAGGACCTGGGTTTTTGTCCTGGGGGTGGGCCTCTACCTTAGCAGGTTCGGGTTTCTGCTTCCCACACCCCACTCTGTGTCCGAGGTACTGTACCTCTGCCATCCCTATACTGCATTTCGCTGGCTTAAGGGTTAATCCGGCTTCTCGGCTTCTATCTAACACGGCCCCTATATGGGCCAAATGTTCCTCCCAAGTATTGCTAAAGATGGCTATGTCATCTAAATACGCACAAGTATAATCCTGAAATCCATCTAGGAGACGGTCCACCATTCTCTGGAAGGTGGCGGGTGCGTTTTTCATCCCAAACGGCTTTACCTTAAACTGGTATAAACCGAATGGGGTGACAAAAGCGGATTTAGGAATGGCCTCAGGTGCCAGGGGGATTTGCCAATACCCCTTACATAGATCAATGGTCGTGAGGTAGTGACCTCTAGCCATTCTGTCCAATAATTCCTCTATCCGAGGCATAGGGTATGCATCGGATACCGTCTTTTCATTTAACCTCCTGTAATCCAGTTGTGCCATCTCGCTTAGGTAAGAGTACTACAGGGGATGCCCAGGGGCTATCTGACGGTTCAATCACCCCTAAGTGGAGCATCTCCTCAATCTCCTTACGCATGCTCTCTTTTACCGCTTCAGGGATGCGATACGGGGTTTGGCGCATGGGAAGCTGCCCCGGGGTCTCTACCCGGTGAGTGGCCAAAGGAGTGTACCCAGGTATATTGGAGAAGGTTTCTTGTTTCTCCCTTAATAACTGTTGTACCTCGGTACGCTCCTATGGGCTCAGCCGATCCCCCAGAGTAACTTCCCCCAAATCCCCGGGCAGTCTGCCGTCCCCCAGAAGATCTGGGAGAGGCAGGCTGTCGAACTCCTCATTGGACAGGGTGCAAATCGCAGATACCTCCTCTGAACGTTCCTGGTAGGGCTTCAGCATGTTCACATGGATCATGCGTCGCCCCCCCAGTCCCTGTACAAGCGCCAATGATATACGTGGTGTCGCATCTCTGCTCCATCACTTTATATGCCAGGAGGCCTGCAGCTTGTCATGTTGGACGGGTTTCAAAACTAGAACTTTCTGCCCAACCTGGAAGCTGCGCCTTGCCAGGAGGCCTGCAGCTTGTCATGTTGGACGGGTTTCAAAACTAGAACTTTCTGCCCAACCTGGAAGCTGCGGTCCCTGGCGCCCCTATCATACCAGGTGCGCTGGCGCGTTTGAGCTGCCTGGAGGTTCTCTCGGACTGACTTGGTCAACGCTTCCAAACGCTCTCGAAACGCCAGCACATATGGTATGACAGGGGTACCGTCGGTACTCCGGTCTCCCTCCCAGTGTTCCCGGATAAGATCTAAGGGTCCCCTTACTCTCTGCCCAAATATTAGCTCAAATGGGGAGAATCCTGTCAATTCCTGAGGCACCTCCCTATAGGCAAACAGGAGATGCGGCAGGAACCGTTCCCAGTCCCTATGGGTGTCTGCAAAAGTGCGCAGCATTTGCTTCAAGGTTCCATTGAACCTTTCGCATAGCCCATTGGTCTGGGGGTTGTAGGGGGCACTGATAATCGACTTTATGTCACAAAATTTCCAGAGGCTCTGGGTGACTTCCGCAGTGAACTGGGTACCCTGATCCGAGATTATCTCTCTGGGTAACCCCATCTGAGTGAAAATCCGCATCAGGGCCTCAGCCACGGTTTCTGCATGTATATTAGTCAGACCGATTGCCTCTGGATATCTGGTGGCATAATCCACTACAGTTAAGATATACTTTTTACCAGAGGGGCTGGGCGTTTTCATTGGTCCTATTATATCTACTGCCACTCTGCTGAAGGGCTCCTCTATTATGGGTAGCGGGTGCAATTTTGCCTTCCGCCGATCCCCTCTCTTCCCTACCCTTTGGCACGTGTCACACGTGTTGCAGTACCTGCGGACTTCCTGACTAACCCCCGGCCAAAAGAAACTTTGGGTCAGTCGGTGCCGGGTGCGACTGACCCCTAAATGTCCGGATAGCGGAATATCATGTGCTATCCGGAGTAACTCTGTGCGATACCATTGGGGTACCACTAACTGCCTCATTACAATGGGGTCTGACCCAGCTATCTGCTTGTCAAACTCCCTGTATAGCAACTGGTTATCCCATACAAATCTTTCGCCCTCCCCTCCCGGCTGATCTGATGTGACTTTGTCTCTATATACCTGTAAGGTGGGGTCGGTGGCTACCTCAGCCGCAAATTCAGTAGGGGGGGCCCAAGGGGTACCATTCTAAGGTAGGGGAAGGATCTCTTACCTGGACCTCCTGGAGTGTGTTGTAGTCCTGGGTGCGGGCCTGTTGTCGTGTAACCACTGGGTGTGCTTCTCCGGTTGTTGGGGCCTGTGGTTCAAAGGCAGACGTCAATTTGCCCAAATCGTTCCCCAACAAAACCTCCGCTGGCAGCTGGGGCATCAACCCCACCTCCACATTCCCAAACCCCGCTCCCCAATGTAAATGTACCCATGCTGTGGGTAGCCGGTATACTGCTCCCCCGGCTACCATGACTGCTACAGTTCTGCTGGTCTTGGCTTGGTCAGGTACCAGGTGACTTTTAACCAGTGTGATGGTGGCTCCTGAATCACTGAGCCCCTGGACTGCTTTCCCCTCCAAGTACACAGTCTGCCTATGATGCTGGCGGTTGTCAGCATTCGCCTGCACAGGATCCGCTTCATGTAATACTTCCCACTGTTCTACTGTGTTTATGGGAATTGCGGTGCCATAGGAACTTGTTGCCTCTGCTTGGTAGTAGTGGGCTGCCTGTCAAGGTGGTGGAGGTGGATCGGGTCTGATCCAGGTGGGGCGATCCTTTAGCTGCGGGCATTCCCTCTTGTAATGTCCCCAGCGTTGGCAATGGTGGCACTGTACAGAGCTAGTAGGTATAGGCTTCTGTTGCACACTAGTGGGTGGAAAAGGGGTTAGTTGTCGTGGTGCTGGTGTGGCACTGGGGTAGGGATTGTTCCCCCATAGGGGTCGGCTAACTGTCTTTATGGGGGCTGGTTTTTGCTGTCGGTGGGCATCCAGGTACTCATCCGCCTTTTTCGCTGCTTCTGTGAGGGACTCTGGATTGCGGTCTCTCACCCATTCCTGAATATCATTCTGGATGCCCTCATAAAATTGCTCTAATAACAGCATTTGTAATAAGTCCTCCATGGACCGAGCCTTATTGGACTGTACCCACCCCAGGGCAGCCCGATGTAACTTGCAAGCCCATTCCACATGAGAGTCCTTGTCATTCCTCTTTAGGTCTCTAAACCGCCGCCGATATGCCTCTGGCGTGATGGCATATCGGGCCAGGATCACCTCTTTTACCCTGTGGTAATTTCGAATTTCCTCATCAGGTACAGTTCTATATGCTTCAGCAGCCTTTCCTGTGAGCTTCCCTGCTAAAATAGGCACCCACTCTTCTGGACTAATACTATGCAGTGCACACAGTCTTTCAAAGTCTTGGAGAAAAGCATCTATATCCTCCTCTGCTTCTACATACGTTTTAAATGCTTGGTAAGGTATTTTTGTCTTACCCTGTGTGATGGTAGCGGTGGCATTCCTCTCCAGGTGCTGTAGTGGCCTTTGGCGCAGTATAAACTCCTGCACCTCTGTCATTGTCCTGGATATAATATCCGTCGTTGGATTCTCTCCATAAAAGGACAGCCTAAACTGCAGCTGTCTCTGGAACTCCTCTTGTTCAGATCCATCTGCTGAACTCCGCTGCTCAGGGATTACCCTGTCCTCATTCTGGTATTCAGCCATCACTTCTGCAATGAGGGTTGCTTTCCTTTTGTTGCTTGCTGCAATACCTTTCGCTTCGAGGAGATCTTTTAGCGTGGCTCTTTTTAGCTTGGCATAATCACTCTCCATCCGTATTCCATTAGTCCTTGTTCCCTTGTGAGTCTGGATGCCAGCGCTGCCAACCAATGTAGCGGAGAGCTGGTATTCCACAGCCTATCTCCACTTTAGATCCCAGGGAGACTCAGGAACAAGCAATTATAAATCCATAGGGTAAAGTATCCAGCAGGCAAAATAACAGCGATATCCCAACAGCAATCCCAGTAACTGGACGACACACAGTTTCAGGAGCATAACTAAAGCTTTATTCAGACAGTGGCCTTTTAAAGCCTGCTCCCATGCAAGGGAGGGATTTTCATTCATTAATACAGTAGCCAATCCTGTTCTGGTAACCTCCCACACATCTCCTCCCCTCAGCCTGCATTATAATCCCCTTATCCAGCACACCAATTCCCCCCGTTTCTGGATGTACCCCTAAACTTAGGGGTACCACTTTAAATCCTACATCCCGGATAGCCCTGATCTGGGTGAACAACATATCCAAAAATCACCCAGATCAGACCAGGGGTTCGGGAAATTTATGGAGGGAATAAAATGACCGACCGCACTGGGTGAAACAGCCGAATGCAGTTCCATGTGAATGGGCCCTGCGGTCGGTCCTGGAGTCAGGGAATAAATGGCACGAAAACCTCTAGCTACAGAGGCTAGGGAGGGTTCGCCTGAATCCCCTCGTTCGGTTCTTTCTATCTACCGAACGAGGGGCCGTTCGGTAGTTAGGAACCGAACGGACCGGGCTTGTGGAGGTTTCAGCGGTGTTCGCCTAGTCGAGTGTCCGATTTGAGTTCCAGACACTCGACGGCAAAACACAGCTGTTTGGGAGTTTTAAAATGGCCGCCGCCACGTGTTCGTTTTTCGAATGGCGGCCACCCCCGAGAACAAAGGACGGCTACTTAACTTGTCAATTACCCGTTCGCAACAATGTTGCAACGGGTAATTGAGAACACACTTCACACAGGGGAGGTCTGACTGTTCGGTAGTTTCATTCGAACAAACTAAGGGAATGAAACTACCTAACATTCAGACGAATACAATACATTACATACATAGAACTTGCTGTTTTTATGCGAACACATTAAAATACATGAAAGTCTCAGGACAGCCCAGGGCCATCCGCTACAACGTGTCCTGTGGTATCTGGCACCAAGACATTAGCAGCAGATCCTTTAAATCCTAAAAGTTGCATTGTTGTTCCAGCACATCCGACATATGCGCAATTGGATTTGATATCTGGGGAATTTGGAGGCCAAGACAACACCTATAACTCTTTGGCATGTTCCTCAAACCATTCCTGAACATTTTTTGCAATGTGGCAGGGAGCATTATCGTGCTGAAAGAGGCCACTGCCATCAGGGAACAAAAGTGCCATGAAGGAGTATCACTGGTTAGTAACAATCTCTAGGTCAGTGGTACGTGTCAAAGTAACATCCACATGAATGCTAGGACCCAAGGTTCCTCTTAAAATGATAATAATACATTTACTCATTCCTTATATTTAACAAAAACATGTCAGTGAAATCTGAAAAATAAGATTAAATGTAGGAATCCATATTTCTCTATTTACTGGTCATGACACCGATGCCTCCATATTGGCTCCGTCAGTCATTCCATGCACTGTATTATACACTGGACTCGACGTGGCTGGTTTTGTATGTTCGTGGCTGCTAGCAAGGCCATATGTGTCAGTCCATTTCTTTGGTTTCTCTGTGTGACTATGGGGTCTTATAGTTCTCCTTAAAAGACCACTAAAGGCAACCAGACCACTTTATCTCAATGAAGAGATTGGGGTGCTGTGGTCCTTGACTTATCACCATGTAATTTAAAACATTGCTATTTAGTAGATACGGCAATGCTTACATTACAGGGCTAAACATGCCGTTACTGAATGTCTATGACAGACACTAGGGGGCGCTTCTTCTGTGAAAGCCGAGTGAGTCAAACTCAGTTCTCAAAGCTATCCTCTAATAGGAGCACAGGGCTACCGCGCAGGTGCTTTTTATCCCCAATGCTCCTCTCTGTGGCAGGAAGGGAAAGCGGCTGCAGGGATTAAATTGTAGTATGGGGAAAAAAGGTAAATAATACAGTTTTTCCCAATTTTAATTCAAATTTAGGGGGCCCTGTGTCTTTTAAATAAGGAGGAAAACACCATAGCGTTAGGAATAGCAGTTTGTATCCCTAGTGCTATAGTGTTCTTTTAAACAGGGCTCTGGTTATGTGCTCCGATCATCAAGATTGGAGGAGAAATAGGAAATCGAGGGAACTTAAAGTCTCAGTGAATAATGGTATTGATAAATTATCAGTTATGATCGTCATTTTCACTATTTATCATTTTTGTTACTTTTCTGCCATTTTTCTATTGCATTTACGTTGTGACGTGTATTCGATTTATTAATTTTTCTGCCTTTTTGCACCAGAAAGTATTCTGTTTTCTGGTTTTCTCTTGTAACACTTTTGCCTCGATATAAAATGTGAGGTACAATAATTGCGCAGTGAAACCTGTCAAAATACACAGAGATGATTAGATGATTGCTCAGATGATTTTTAAAACACTTTAATAAATTGGAAATTTTGGAAACACTAAAAACACTTTTCAGGACACTTTAAAAAATCTCCCCCAAAGTTTCTGATTCTATTCCTCCAATGCCTTGTTTGCCAAAATGACGGCGTAACGCTATTATTTCACTCTCTGTGGGTGGAAGTAAATTTCTCTAGGAACATAATAACATTATCAATTTGTGCATGCGTAATACATTTTAAAGAAACAAGGCATAATATGAAAAAAAATGGTTAACACAAATAACAGTTGATTCGCAGTTTTTTATTAAGTGGAGAGATCTCGAGAAAAGCCATGGCTCCCTTTAAATAAGGATTGTGAGAAAAAAGACAAAAGTATAACTTGCAGGTAGCAATATACAGCAATGATACATTTCTAGTTTTAACAGGGAAAACAACCTGGTATGTTTACTTCACTGGTATCGGTACATCTCTGGTCAGAATAACAGACTCAGATTATTCCATTTTTTTGCATCTGTCTGCCTGCCTGTCCATCCAACCATTCATCCATCCAACCATTCATCCATCCATCCATCCAACCATCCATCCATCCATCCAACCATTCATCCATCCAACCATTCATCCATCCATCCATCCAACCATTCATCCATCCAACCATTCATCCATCCATC